AGTCGTAGTCCGCTTTCGTTGTATAGCAATGATCTAACATCATTTTTAAAATTTTTTCGTGTTATCAGGTCGACCTAGTTGGACGCATCTTATCCGAAATCCTCTGCTTTAATAGTTATCATAATTAATGCGTCAGACTATGGACTCGGTATATTCTCAAACATTTCACCGGCATCGTCGGTGAATCTTGGCATTCTTAGCACCGAAACCGACTTAAATCAGTCAACCAGTAAGATAAGAAAGAGATCTCCGGACCCATGAGGTTCAGATATGAACTCCAAGTCAGATCAGCAATTCTGGCAAACCGAGAGAAAGTGGGGCAAGGTAAATAAACAGGTGTTATACCGCCCCACTGAACTCGCCAAAAAAGGCATGCTTCTAAAGGAGTCGAATATAAGAAGTTATAAGTTGTGATAGGGAGGAGTTGAAATACGAGTAAAGGGAATAAGAAGTGGTATCAGGACAGACGGAGGAATGAAAACACAACCGCCCGGCAGAAAGTTGGTCAAGGGAATGACCTTGTCTCTGTGACGAATAGTTGCTTGAGAATAAGAATTGCAAGCATCACTTACGATGCAGGCAAAGCGTCTGAAAATGTATCAAGTCCATGGTCAAACGCTGGGAAATATGATAAATACAATGACTTCGGACAAGGTCCGAACAACTAGGCCTCGATTAAAATACGACCAAGTTGCGAAAACGAGGTCAAACCACTTCTAAACTCAATAAACCTTACCAAAATGAATTGAGTTATCTTCGGGTCCATCCTGCCATTCATATCAGCCAGGGCCCTCGACAAATCTGTGGCCCGATCCCCAGTCACTAGGCAGACATCAGTTTGAATCACAGAGAGAGGTGCAGGAGTACCGACCTCCGAGGGCTCTTTGCCAGCGGTGGCAATGGGTGCCGAATGAGTATCTGAGGTGCCTGTAGAGATCAATGGTCGAATGAGACCCAGGTCAGTGCGGTTGATATAGGCATCAATATAACCAGCTAAATTGGATGGATTCAGGCTTCGAGCTAATTGTCCGTAGAACTCAACCAGATCGGCGTTCTCTGCCATGCCCTAATGCAAAAAAGAATAGAGGATGGAGAAAGAAGAGTAAAATTTGCAAGTGAGGATATAAAGATGTAGAGCTAAATATGGATAGTTGGAGCAACCTGTAAACATTCCAATCGGCTAAAAAGTAGTCGTTTTTTGTAAATTAGCATAAGGTACATTCAATTCTGCGTTCTAATGTTGATTCAAAATACCCATGGCTTTAAATAAGCCTACAAATTCTTTG